ATTAATTATAAATATGATATAGAAAATATTTCTACTAAAGACATTTTGGGGTGTCTCTAACATTTCCTAAGTATCATTTTAGATCATAATTATTATGATCACAATTATAACAATATTATAATTATAATTATTAAATTTCCAAAGACTTGTATTAATGTGCATGTGTGTGTATTCACATTCACAGTATTGTATACATAATACAATTTTCCACTTCTCCAAGTAGGTTTTGAAATTTTGTCAGTAAAAAACTTTGAGACTTCATATAACTTGATGTTTTAGCATTCTTTGTGAATCAAATCAGGAAAAAAAGTAATTTTTTTCATCATCAGGAATCTTTCGTTGTTGTTTATGCAAAATACTACAAAGTTTTAATGTTTCATATGAAGCTAAAACAAAATATAATCAAATATCTAAAGGCAAACAATGGTACCTACTCTTACCTTTTGTAATATGTACTCTCTATCGTGAAATTTCAGTGCTTTGTTGAGGTTTTCAAGTTCTAGCGTGAAGAGGTCAATCAAATGCTGTGAGGTGCTCCAATTTCAAGGTCTTAGATGATTGGAGCCTAAGAAACTTACAGGCGACTCCTCACAGGAAAACACTATTTCAGAAGAGTGGCAAACTACATTTTGATATTGCTTTGGTTTTGATTGGAAAAAGCATACTTCACATCATTACAGGAGAATCAGAAAATGATTGGATGACTTCTATTTCTTTAATAACAAATGGGAAAACAAGAAATTATTTTTGATTAGCTTAAGAGTAGTGGTGGTCCCAAGTACTGACTGCAGCTTGGAAATCATTGTATTAGAAACATCCTATTTCACAGTAGAATTCTGAAGGCCTAGGGGAATCACCACAATTTTTGGATTAGAAAGTATATGAAGAAATATTGGAAAGATATATTGAACTTTAGTTACATAATTTTCTAATGTCATAATAATTACCTCAATTTATATAGCTTTATGCATTCTGAAGAAGATTTCGGCATTAAGTTGTCTTTAATCTGCCCTTTGAAAGTTCATGTTGGGTTTTATTAAAATGAGTTTTGTTTAGTGCCATGCTTTACATATTGTAGCTAAATATGAATAGTCAATCCCACCTACTTTATAGAAAGAAGTGTAGATATCCCTTTTACAGCTTCCAGGAGGTGAATTTTTATTCGACTCGCCAAGTTTACACAAGAGCATGTAGATGCTTGCCCAGCCTGAAGATACCCCCTGCTCTGCAGACACCAAAGAAGAAAAATTCTCAAATTCTTTAGGAGGCAGCTTTGGGGATTTTTAATTTATTTTAGGGTGTTTAAATATTTCTTCATTGCTGATTTAACAAAAATTAAACTTAAATATACCTCTGCTGGAGACATATTGATAACTTCTGTTTTCATTTTTTTTTAAAGTACGTGTTAACTGTACTTGGGCTTAGTCATTTGGGAAGGAAACAGAAGTCCTGCCTTTAAGCTCATTAGTTTAAGGTCTTCTGTATGTGGCTCCTGCTTTCTTTCGTGGTAGGAATGCTCAGGAACACGAGGCTTTACAGCACTACGGGAAGGAGAACGGAGGGCTGTGGGTTTCTGCACAGGCCTCCTGGGAGCAGCAGGCTGCTGTGTGTCAGCGTTCACACCTGCATGAGCAGTGAAGGCTGCCTTAAACAATGCTGATCAACTCCATTCAATTCTTTACCTCCCCGCCCCCTTCTCTTCCTGGGGAATCTGGCTTTCCTGTCACTCAGAATAACGATTTCCTGCAAGCATCACCAAGATCCAGAAAGTCACTGTAATCTCATCAGGAGTGTGATTTCCCAGCTGGGACTGTTGAATTTATATAACCCGAAGATAGCTGGTCAGGGTGCTTAATCCTCCCGGCTGGTGTGTTGAGCCCCATTTGAAATAAAATTCCATTTGAAATAAAATTCCTGTAACAAAGGTGACCTCATTAGTTGACAGATTTAGAGAAGATAGGTCCCCAGATTAGTGCAGACTTTATCAAAAACCTATAATTTAACCAATATTTTATGTATGAAAGCAATGTTGCTTTCCCCATCGTGACCAAAAAGAACTCAGTCCAGGTGTAAAGTAAATTTCCAGTGAATTTTCATGAGCCCAGTGAAAATTGGGCAGGAGGTTGAGCATACTTCTTCTGCCCTGTGTGGCCTATGGGACACTAAGGAGTTGTGTTACTTTTTCAACCCTGAAATAAAATTTAGAGAAACCTCACTTCAAGCTTGTGGTGAATGCCTTGATAATTTGTTCTAATTACTGCACTAGTAGATTTCCTGTTTTCTCACACATTTTAAGTGATTTCCCAGCAAATCATTTTTAGGCTTCATGACCTCAAAAATCTTAATATAAGGGAGAAGTATTTTTTAAAAAGATGCTTCTCTGCTTATCTTCATCCTTCCCCCGCCGCAGTGGACTATATCTTTATATATGGAGATACATACTGGCCTCAATGTACGCATAATAATATGCAAACATCACAGTGCTTTATTTTGTGACAGGTTGTATTAGTAAAGGAAACCAGCTCTCTGCTTTTCTCATATTTGCATTATCTAATTAATTTTTGGTGCTAATAAGCACCGAAAACTGATTATCTTTCTCCTCACAACCATGACCTTTGATCTCGGGTGGCATTTTATGAAGCTTGCTTTCTCTAAATATTACAAATAAAATTTAGTAATGAAAAGGGGCACAGGAAGAGCAAAGAGTTGGAAAAGAATTTTCAAAATGTATCCAAGACATAAGGAGTTCACCTCATTTAAAAAATGTACTCCATACATTTTTCTGTTTATCTTCATAAACATATATGTTTATCAAGATACAAGATTATCTAAGTATATATACTTACAGTCTTGTTTCCAGTTGGCATCTGAAAGTAAATTGGCATCTCTATGTCATATTCTATACATGTAAATGTGAATATATATGAATATATATGCACATGTTTATTTTTCATATGTGAATCTGTAATTGCATGGATATGTTTGGATCTAACTTATCTTGTTAAAAATGACTACATTTATATAAGTATGCATACTTATATAAAATTTATTCTTAGTTGGCATCAGGCAGCAAGCTTAGCATCTGGTATAAACGTCTAAGTTTTCATTTACTGCTTGTGTGTGTGTGTGTGTGTGTGTGTGTGTGTGTGTGTAAAGCATGAATATTAGAATGAGTATGTTTCTTATTGCTTCATATACTTCCTTTAATAATGACTAGATAAATGTAATGAACACATACAATTATATTTATCATTCAAAAGTTAGTTTTCAAAAGTGGTAAAGGGGTTTTTTTTCATCAACCAAATCAAATGACGGGGATTCAGATACTCATAGTGAGCTGGAGAGAAGAAAACATTATACCATGAGGAGTAAAGAGTAAAATATTAATGATTACTACTTATATGGGAATAATAGACTTTCTTGCTTGCATTTTTAGAGAATACTTCACAAGTTAAATAATTTTCATATACATTATACAAACTTGCATTACAACCATTAGTTTTGGGTGCCTGGCTGCCTCAGCTGGGAGAGCAGGAGATTCTGATCTTGGGGTCATGATTTCGAGGCTCACATTGGGAGGAGAGTTTACTTTTAAAAAAATCATTAGTTCTTATACTTTCTTTGGAAATCTATTGTGTTGACTGTGAGGACAAATTTTTTAAAATTCTTTCTAGTGCAAATAGTGAAAAGTGGCTTTGCTTTCAAAAGTTTTTTTTTTTTTTTCATTTAAATTTCAGTGGACATCTTAACCAACTAATACACTTTTATTTTTAGATGACATTGTTACAGTAGCACTGTGTCAACCAGATAAGTCAGATGTGAGAAAGTAAATAAAAGCTAGCCTCAATTATTAAAGAGTACTTAGAGTTGAATTTTTCATGTATTTTCTGAAATATGAAATTCAAGTGCTATTAACACAGTCTTAAGATGTGTTTTTAAGAGGTGTGCGTGCATGTGTGTGTGTGCGTGTTCTGTACTTACCCAATAATTTGGTAGCATTCAGCATACCAACTTATATACTTACTTATTCTTGGCAGTCATCTTGTATTCTGCACAGGATTGTTGGACTGGTCTAAGGAATAAAATCAGCCCTCTTTCATTTGCCCCTATAGGAAAATTTAACTTATTGTTTCTTATGTACCTTCAATATGTTCTTATGTGATTCTGTTTTTTTAAAGAATACGAGTATAGTATAATGAATTACTGTAATATTAATAGAGAGAGGAAAATTCAATACTTTACTGTTTTTCTGACAAAAAAAAAAACACAACACAACACCTTAACTTTAAGCATTTTGTTAAAATGATTGTTCATACTTTTGGTGCTAACTTAATACTCCTTTGGAAAACTATACTCTTTTTATGGTGCAAAAGGATAGTTATGCTCCACTGAGTGTCATTGGCTAGCATAAGTTTGTTTCATACATATAACATTAATTTGTTGAAAATGCAGACTTTAAAATAGTGGCATATGTTGTCAGTATAGTTCTCATTAGATTATTTGTAGGAATGTTTAGCATTAGCAGTTGTTAAATGATAGAATTAATATCAATGTAATATTTGTTGTTGTCTTTGGTAAACAGAATTCCCGGGAATAAAAAAAATTACTTCACTGAATTCTCTAAATATCAACCTTACGTAGGATGCGTACTTATGTAGCAGATACAGACTTTCTGGCCGGATGTCATACTATTGGCTAATAGTTTGAACCTCCCCCTTTATTCCGATGGTTATCCATGTTCTAGGCTGTGTTCCCTGTATTTTTTAGACTAATGTGTCTTAAATATTATATTCAGTAAATTAGCATTAAAGTCAACATCCCAATTTTTGTAATGTTCCAAGACTGAACATTTCTTTTTTTTTTATTAAATGTTGAAATATACAAGTCATTATGCTGTGTATTGCTGACTAAAAATATTGCTGAAGTGTAAAGGAGAAAAATCTAATTTTATATTGGCATAGAAAGAAAGCTTAACTTGTTTTCTTGCTCTTTTTTTATAGAGAACACCTGTTCCCAGCGCTGAAGCATTCCGATGGTTCTTTTAAAGCAGTAGTATATCTTATTTTCAAGGCATTTGGAAGTGAAGGGCAAACTAATGTCTTGTTTTAAGAAACTGCTTAGTCCATCACTGAAGAAAATATCCAGATATTATTTTCATTTTATGTATAGGGGTTTCTTCCAAAAAAAAAAAAAAAAAAAGGAAAAGAAAAGAAAAAAGACATATAAAAATAATCTGGGAGCTTGGGGAATTGGCCAGTCTATTTACTTTCAATACACTGATTCTTTCTTTGATGTAATTTAGCTATACTAGTGAAGTTGTTGTCTATTTTGAAAGTGGCTGTAAAAAATAAGTTTGGGTAAACCCCTGCTGTAAAATCATGTATCTTTGCAAAGTACATATCTATACTTCATTTTCAAATATATGTGTTTCAGTACTGTAAACTGTACAGATAGCAGCTTGTATTTTGTGTGTTTAGACACAAGGAGACAATCATGTCTGAGCATCTATGGAGATTAACAGTTTGTACACAACAGTATGGTTCTGCAAGTTAAATCTGGAGCAATAAATTTTAGCTTTAAATATTTTTTGCCAGTTGTTTCTAGAAGCAGCAACAGCAGTGGCATGTTTTGCCATGCATCTTTCCGTAGAGACTTGATGCCAAGTTTTATAAGACTAAAAGATTATGATGCATCCAGCAATTACCTTCAGTTGTGTTGTTATAAGAGGGGAAGATGTTATGAAAGTTTCAATTAATCTTTTGAGCACTATATTAGAGTAGTGGTTATGCACTTGCATTGCTTACAAATGAGCTGTACAGAAGGGTATACCTCCCAAATACTTAGTGTAGTTGACTTGTCTTGGGTTGCACTGTAAGGCGGAGTACTCAGAGTAGTTGGAACATGCAGAATCAGTTGTATAAATTTAAAAAGAAAAAAAAAAAAACAGTGTTTTCTAGGATACAGAGAAAAGTATCATATCTTAGGGGGAGAAATTCATGATGGACTTTTTTTTCTCAGCCCAACATGGGATGTATGTATTTTTTTTTGTTGCTGTTCATATTTTGTTCTTTTTTTTTTTTTTTTTTTTTTGGTAGGAGAAAGAAACACTTAATAAAATGTACCCAAGTGTTTTAATTCCATGTATGATATGAAATGGGTAGTTTGTTTTAAAATTTGAATACATAAAGACTTCTTGCATTGAGGCATGACTACATATATTTTTTAAGTTAAAAAAATTGAACACATTCATAAAAGTGAGGCTTTTAAATTTCTTTTTATCTTCCTTTCCCATAGCCTCCCAGGTGGACCAGTGGCCTTCCCCGAGGCCCTCAGTGGAATGTTCCGTTGCTCCCACTCCCATTTTTGTCACTTGATGCTTTCATTCCTGAGCAGCCAGGTCCACATTCTGTGGAATTCCATAAGTGCAAATAGCCCCAAACACCAAGGAGCTAATGCTTCATAGGATCTGTGCTGCCCTTTCACGTAGGATTTGGTGTTCTTATGGCCATCAAGGTTCCTAAGGCTGTCCCCATAGGACAGATATTATTTGTGATGCCATGATATCTAGGAAGTTTATTTCATTTTTTTTCTTGCCAGATTATAAAGACAGTTTTCATCTTGAGGAATAAAATAGAATTGAGTAAAAATACATGGAGCATCGAAGTTGCCATGTTACTGTAACTTTTGTTCTTTATCCACCAGCCCGCTATTTTAGCCTGTGACAGCCACTAGTCTGCTGAAAAATGTTAGCAAGACGGATCAGGCAAAGAAAAATAACTTGAGAAGAGAAAGGGTGAAAAAGGGCTGTAAAGTTTTAGAAAGACTAGCAGATTAATAATTTTGAAAGGCTAGTTGTAGTTGTGAATGGGAAATAATATGACAGGAGATTTTAAGAAAACCAGAAGAAAGCACTTCATCATCAGAGTCTGGGAGGGAGGGTGGAGAAGTTACCTGCAAACGCCAGTGTGAAAAGCAAGTGACTGAACCTGGCTAGAGGGGGATCGCAAGGCCTCCAGTTTCAGTCAAATGGGCTTTTTAAGGAAAACTTATTTCATGTTTTACACCTGTCCCTGTTTCAAGAAGATCATTAAATCATCGTAAGCTAAAATGTGCTGTATGTTAATTCTGACATAGCTTTCTGCTTGATGTATATTCCTTTGAGGGTTTCTAGTTAGAATTTCTGTTTCTGCTGTGGGACCAATGAGAACTATATGAATTCTTTCTCATCCACTTTTATTTGATTTTACTTATATTTTTAAGCCAGTGTGCTAATTAATTACAAGTAAGTGAAAACTTGCTTTTACACTTGAATGGTAAGTTTGCCTTGCTTTTTGGAAAATGGTGATTGTTACGACAGAATTGAAGCAAACGTCTGTTCAGGCTGCATTAGGCGTACGGTAACATGTAAAGATCTCATGACAATGTATTGAGAGTCTAAAATACATGCTAAGTATTGCATGTCTTGATGTGTTTTTATTTGTTTTCTTAAAAAACTAATGAATCTGTATATTGTAAAATGTGTTGTTATACATGTCAATTCAGTTTTTTAATGAAAGAAAATCTGTTGATTGAAATGGAAAAGTGCAGCTTTTCTTTAATTCTCTTACATGTTTTTATTCTTGATATTGTTCTTTTACACCACCCCTTTTTTATGTTTTTGGTAAAACTCTGTTTATATAATGTAGGGTACATAAAAAGTTCTCGTTGGTGATGTTGAAAAAAGATGTTACTCTTCTGTCCTCCTTTTGGTTCTCTTCTCCGTAAGTCCATATACTGAGAACTTGTAAAGCATATCATTATAACCCCGAGGGAGTGATTTAAAGGTTTACAATTACCACGATTCTAAAATGCCAATGAATGTAACTTTTGAAAATTGTTCACTGCACATTTCATATTCGGACCAAGAAAATTCAGAAGATAGCAATCAGAATATAGATTGTGGCGGACTGTACAATTTAAAAATTACGTATCAGAGAAGTCAAATTAAAAGCTTTGTAAGAGAGGTTCAAACATGCACAGGACTCTTACCTTCTCTAGGTGTAGACAAGGAGATGCCACATTCTGTCAGCAGCTGGGGAGAGCTGGAAAGTATGCAGGGTGTTGGTATGAAGAGCAATGAACCATTTTTCTTGTCAGCTGTCACTCAGCACCCAAACATTATAAGAACCTCATAATGCAAACCTCCCTCTTTCCAGGCCTTCAGACCAAAGTGGCTTTCTGATGGATTTTGCCCACCTGTGTACAAGCAGAGACATTTTTGCAAATGAGAAACATATCCATCCTTAGGAGAGAACACAGTGAAAGTCTTTCTCCAGTGTAAGAGTATATAAAAACATCTCTGGTTGCTTAATCCCCAACACCCAACTTCCAACTTCTAAACACATTTATAGGGAGCAAGTGAGATGGTGGGCTTCCCATGAATTAGTGTGAAGCAATCACTAACAGAAAAGAATATTCCCTTCCTTTCATTTAGAACGCCTGGCATGTAAGTTGTACAATTAATGCTAAAGCATATAAAGTCTTTAAGCTGATAGTATCTGTAATCAAATAATGAAAAAAAGGCAAGCAGTTAAATGAGCACACTATTCAGGGTCAAACGTATTCAGCAAAAAGCTGTAGTGGGTCTTTGATCATGGTTAGATTCACAGTGATATCAAACAGTTGGTTCTCATGTAACAGCTAAATGCTTCAGATTTTGTTTTTATTAAATTTGGCAGTTTCACACTGAGATCTGTATTCCTAGTGAATAAAAGACAGCTACCATGTGAGGAGGGATTCCATTTTCACAATGGCAAGGAAGTCAGATATTTCAGGAACATGGGACACAAAATGTACTCCTTTCACAGCGTTCTCCTATTCTGAACTGTGCAGTCATCTATTAAATTTTCTAATAGATATTTGTGTAAGGTGTATGTATGCTTGTGCAATTATTAAAAAAAGCAGTTTTGGAAAACAGTGTATTTATTAAAGAAAATTACTTATGGGGCATGTACAAAACTGTAAAAAAAAAAAAAAACTTAAAAAAAAACCACATTCAATTTGCCCAGTAAAGTTGTTTTTGTGAAATTTCTGTGTTGTTGAATAAAGGACTTTAGTATTCAAAATATCTCTATTTTTCCATGAAGAAATTTTTATTTGTGGGAATTGAAGTAATGAACATATGATCCTGAAAATCTAATTTTGTTTATGATAAAAAAGTTTATAATTCTACACTTGCCCTTATGTCAGCAGAATGAATACTGTATATAAATCTTTCATAAAATATGCCAGTTTTGTTCATTTTGTTTTTCCTCATAGATTTTGTCTTTCTCATATATTTAAAGAAAAGGAAAAAAGAAGAACATGGTTCTTTTCACATTACTAAAGGATATATTCTTTGTTGAAAGCTTAAAAAGTCATCTAAATAGAGGAAGAAATGAATGTATCCAAACTTTTCTCCATTCTTCTCCATCCTAAGTGTGCCAGGAGAAAGCATCCCACTGTGCCATGAATGAAACTTCCGGTGGTAATGCTTGAAAGACTTCAAGTGCCTGAAGAAATGTGCAACACTGGAATTCTGTCTTCAGCCCCTCCCAGCAATACTCTGAGATTAAATTTTTATCGTGTTACTCTTTTTATTATGGAATACTGTGTTCCAACCATGTTGCTTATTATTTGGTGGTGAATGTGCTTAACCCTTACTTACTTCACTGCTTCTCAGAGCAAGGCTCTCATTTTTTTTTTTTTTTGATGCTTCATAACCTACAAAAAATGTAAAACACAATTTTGTATATTGGAAATCTTAAAAAAGATTGCAAACCTGGAACTTCAAACAATTGAAAGAGTCCATGTCCACAAAAAAACATACCACATCAGAAGATTTTTATACATTTTAGAAATTTCAGGATGTGTTCTCTTAGTATAATATCACAAATATAAAATGTCTTGGCCATGACAACAGAATTAGATTATATAATCTGAGAAAGAAGAATTAGGTAACTTGAATTATGGGAGTTCCTGGATCCTCAGCAATTTTTTCAGGTGAGTTGCTGTGTTTCTTTATTATATTGTGGTATAAGCAACAATAGGGTAAAAATATAGAATTGGATTTTCATGGAAAATAGCTTCCTATTTCTACTTGAAATCTTTAAGGATACCAATACTTGGAGTTTCATCTGTAACGATAAGAGAATAATTCGAAGTAGTTTGAACCAAGGAGAGAGAGGGGAGGAATTCTATACCTTATTTAGACTTTGAGCCCGATAATTTCATTTGGTTTCTGCAAAAATCATGTATTTTTTCAACTTGCTTATTGGTAAAAGTTTTTATTTGCATGTTTTATACAGAAGTTCTTCTCCATTTTATTTCTACTCTTGTCTTTATTTTGTCTCTTTTTAGTGGTGAAAAACTTGGCTTAAGATCTGTCTTATCTCCTTTGCAATTCAGTTTTTGGGCCAATTTTTGAGGCAATATTTCTTATTTTTAAGGTATACATATATTTAAATGTCAACCAAACTATCTTTTTAGTCTAAGTCAATGCTTTCTTTATGATGCGTTACTTATGACAAAAATCACTCCAGTTAACAGGTGTTATAATTTCACAAATTAGAAACATTGTTCAGGCCTCTTTCCAAGAAGAGTACTTTTAAAAAACTACTCTTAATCCTGTATAAATCCTGTATGTAAAGCATTTTTAATACAGGACAGAATTACATGAACTCTTCAGGAGTTAGATGGTAGGAGAATCTGATTGGTTTGAATTATGATCTTCTGCTTATGACTTTTCTAAAAAGTGATCTTCTATCTAAAATTCTGTGGCTTCAGAAAAACTGCACAAGTGGAAGGGAGGGTAGAAAAGCACAAGTGGAAGGGAGGGTAGAAAAGCACAAGTGGAAGGGAGGGTAGAAAAGCATACAGTTAAATGATACAGTTTTACTTTTGATACCATCATAAAACACATGTAGCTGAAAATTCATACCCATTATATCCTTCAAGAACTTTTCTCATGTTTGCATGAATTGCCTTAAGATTTTATTTAAAACCTTTATTGATAAACATTTATAATTTATAATTTTATTTATTAATATTGAATTAACATGTGTGTATGGTGGAACTAGACCAGTCTGTGTGTCC